TACCAGCACTGGGTATGTGGTCAGTTTCTCCACGAGTTTCATATACGCCTCAATTTGTGGAGGCCCCATGACGAATCGTTTGTAACGGGCTCGTTTAGAACTAAATTCCTTGTTCCTCCAGGATGTCCGATAGTGGAGCGGCGATGGCACTAAACTTGGGTACGAATCCCCTCAAACAGTTGGCTAGTCCAAGGAAGGACCTCAACTCTCCCACCGTCGACGGCGTATCCATTTCTTGCACGGCTGTTACCTTCGATGGTGCTGGTCGAGTTCCATCCCTTCCGACCATGACCCCTAGGAACTCGAGCTCTGGCAATAGAAACTCGCTTTTCACGAAGTGACCTGTGTACCCTTTTCGTTCCAGGATAGTGAGGACCTTCTCCAGCAGTACAAAGTGTTATTCCAACGTCTTTGTGTGGAGTGCGATGTCATCCAACCATTTCTCCAAGCCCTTGCCCAATAACTCTCGCAGATTATCACCCAACGTGGCTGAGAAGACGGCGGGGATTGTGGTGATACCAAAGGCGCATCGATTTGACTCCAGTAGACGTCCCGTGGGGTCCCTAAAGGCCGTCTTATGTTTGTCCGTCTCCTCAAGTTCCAGTTGATGATATGCCTGTGCCAAGTCGAGAGATGAGAAGAACTTACGCCCTTTCATCCGATCGAGCATGCCCGTAAGGTCGCCAAGTCCACCACTATCCTTCTTGATGACCTTGTTGAGATCTCTGTAGTCTGTGTATGTGCCGTCGGATTTAGGTACAGGCACAATCCGTGAGCACCACGAAGAGGTGGATAGCCTGAAGGTTCCCGCTGCCAGTCCCCGATTGAGCTGTTTCATCAAGATGTCAGCCATAGGAGGACTCCACCTCTGAGCTTTGCTGGCGATTGGGGTGACGTTTTCGTCTATGAGTGGCAGTCCCACCTTCCGTCCATGTTTAATCTTGACGACCTTCGCGTTCTTCGGGAAAATACTCCTAAACGTGTAGAGCAATGCTAGCAGTCTCGCTCGTGTCGCCGGGCTCGTCTGGCCTGTCTTGGCCGTGCTTACGTCCACCGATTGCTCCTCGTGCCTCTGGCTTTGTTCCAAGGTCTGTCGTGTGCCCATTAACTCGGGTGTTGCTTTCCCCGGCAGTGGTTCTTTCAGGAGTAGTCTAAGTAGCATTCTTTCGACATCACTACAGTTAACCGCTATCTCCCGCGCGACTTGGTTGGGTTGACTCAGTAATGGTCTCGTAAGAGGTTGCTTTGTTAACCACTTTGATCTTCATCCTGACACTCGGGTCCCACCACTGAACACCTTTCGCGACTCCAAGTACACCTCCCTTTTCCATATCAAAAGGTGCCACCGGAAAAACCAACACAGTTTTGTACGGTATTGGACCTTTTACACGTGCATCCACCTCGACACTCACGCGGCCAGGTACGTTGATTTCTTGGTCAACATAGATGGGCCATGTCAACGTCCCATCATCCTCCCACGCTGTTGACCCTAATTCCAGAGCCTCCATTGCCAGCACTTCAGACGGCGGTGATTGTCGAACGTCTTCCTCTGCTTGATCCTCCACCGTGTAGAACGCTCGAGTTGGTTCGATCTCCTCGTTTGGTCTCCTATGTAGTCTTAGCTTTCACTCTCGAAGGCTCCATGTATGGCAGCAGTGGGGTGTTCGATCAGATGTGGGTGATGGTCGAAACCACCCAGACCCCGAGCCTCCAAAGTCTATTATAGTATGCTGTTGTATAGAACGCATGAACGCAGTGCCTAGAATGAGACCTACAGGAAGTCCCTCCACGACTCTCACTCTCACACCGAAAATCTCATCAATCAAGGGAAAGACTAAGAACAGCACACATGTCCCTCGAATGGTCATCGGAGCTACTCCACTGTCACTCGGACTAGCTGCTCGTAGTCGGCCCCTTCCCTTCGTTGACACCATATTCTTTCCTCCGTGTATGTTTGTTTCTTTCCACTCCTTGAATGAACTTCCAAGACGCGTGATCGTCTCCTCCCGCACCCGAGTCCACCAGCACCCCCACTGCCTAGGTCGTTTGCCTTGTTTGTTTATTCCATAGATTCGCTTTGACCCATGCTTGCTGGGACCCTCGAGGTGGCGGAACTGTCTTGTTTGTGGGAGTCACAACGGCAACTTCATTGCCCAGGGCGCTGTCGCAGGACTCCCGCATTGATTGGATGCCTATCCTGTGTGTTCCCCAGGAGTCTTGCTCCTAGGGCGCACCCTCAGTGTGTGACGATGAGTGCTCTCCCTCCTCGTCTTCAAAGTCCATCTCCTCTGGCAGCGCCTCCCTCACATCACCCCTTGTCTCCTCGTCCTCACGCGAGAGTTGTTCCAAAGTGATCATAGCGAGATGTACTTTCGCTGAGACCCTCTCCTTGTAGGGGTAGATTCCAAAGGGTACTTTTTCATGACTACTGCGTAGACTACAACACTGCTTTCTAATTTTTTTGCTCTTTTTTTTCTCTCTATTTTTTCTCTCTTTTTCTGTGCCAGATAATAGCCTTGTCTCTGCTTGCGTTGTGAAGTACCAAGATTGAACCAAGGGGGTGTACCTCTTTCTCTCCGGCCCATGATAGTGACTCCTAGTCTCAGTTGATACCTCGCATAGCGCGCAGAGGGAGTGGAGGATTCCAGAATACCCATCGTTGATTTCTATTGACTTGCGGACCCCATGGGGCCAGCTTGTTTGAGTGTACCTTTTTAGGGTAAGTTAACCTGTGACCACGGGAATCGACGGCGTTGAGTGTTGGATCAGTACGGACATACGAAGGTACTGGGTAGAGAGAGATCGGAACGGTTTTTAATATGTGAAGACAACAACAACAGAACAACAAGTTTTGGAGAAATCTCCCTGATGTATGCATACATACACACCACAGCAACGACACTTAGACTACTTGCAACAAATGCAACGGAACACATTTGCCTCGCTGGCTTGAAGCTCACCCCACATCTACATCTATCTTGCATTGCAATTCAGCGAGAAATCATCAATGATGGTGGATGGTGGATGATGGACGACGTGGTGGTCACTGGAACCGCAAGAAGAAACGATTTCCGTGTGGTTCCGAGTTCTGAGGGTTCAGAGAACCCTCAGAGAACACGACGGCCGACCTCTGTGCCTCTCTGTGTGGGAAACAATCTCCGGATCTTCGTAGAACACACACACGGAACATGCGCATCTTTCGTGTGGGCAATTTCTCGCACACCCGTATACACTACACTCGCACTCCCCAGTCCCTCCCTCTTGCGCTCTCTGAGCTAGACTGGACTGCGTGTACGGGCTTGTGTCAAACGGTACTGTTGGCTCGAACAGCAGGTGAGAGGTTCTGGGAAACCGTGCTGCTGTACAGAGCTTCATTGGTGCGGAGTCGGTGATCGCTTGCTGCTAGTAGTGTTGTTGTAGACCAGAGCGGGTGTACTAAGCGGGTGTACAGAGTATACGTTGGATCTGGAAACGACTGCGCAGAGCTCTCTCTCCCTCTCTGTGTCCTCCCCGTCTCCACCTCTCTTGTCCCGCGCACCATCCGCATGGCAACAAGTAGCGAGTGCTGCACCCTACCAGTTGGTATATTCTCGCGGGCGTGTTCACCGGGCGGATGAGCTCAGCCGCCGCCGAGCTCCAATCGGTCCAAAAATGTTCTGTATGTATGTGGTACTACTTTCTGTGGAGGGCATCAAAGAGATGCCTATTCTACAGCAGTGTAGTTCCTCAGTATTTGTTTGCAGCCACCGGCTTGGCCTCTGCCTTGGATCCGAGCGGAACTCGTTAACTACTGCTAGGGATCCAGACCGCGCCTCTCATCTGGCAATCGTGCCCTCTGCCGTGTGGTACGTACAGCAGCATCGTTTTAAATCGCGTGTCGTCGTGTTGTTCCAACCGTCAGCAATAAATCGGGACCCGCCAAGGAGTGTTTTACCACCACCGTCTCACGCATGCCGTGTACGACACGGCGGGAGGCCCCATCATACTAATAGACAAGATGATGAGTGGTTGACGAGATGTGCTGTGCTTCCTGCTGCAGCTCTGTCTGGCCGCGACACTTTGGTTAGCTGCCGAGGCTTCCTGAATTCGCGTCAAAAAGCAGCGAGCGGCCTCTCTCTTAATATGACACAACGAAACCATCTCTATCTATAGAGTCTGGGACAGATTAGGGTGTGTCTTATCAGGCCGCAAAAATTCGTAACTTTTTTCACCGAATAGTAACTTTTTTCACGGAACCGTAACTAGGGTTTCCAGTGGTTCTTATCGGCAGAAGGCGCGAAGGCGCGTATTTTTTCAAAAATTACGGAAAGCGCCACGGCTCGACGTACACACACCGGTCCCGACCAGGCGAGAGACCCGAGGACTCCCACAACAGACGTTATACACCCACACCATGAACAACAACGCCGTAGCAGTGGCAGGCCGGCCATCAAGAACGAAAACGGTGCCTCTGCGACTGCAGGGTGGAGGTGAAAGTGGTGCAGCTGCTGGGCATGGTGTTGCCCAGATCACGCCTGCTGGCGCCGTACAGCTCCAGCCGGCACCGAGCGGCATGGTCCGCCAGGCCGTCCACAGCAGGGTTACCCCCCATACCGATACACAACAGGGGGTGCCACCTGGCGCGGGGCTGATGCCGGGCTTCATGGACGGTGAAGGTGCTAAAGCTCGTCAGGTGGCCATAAGAAAGATTCTCGACGACAAGCAGTTTGGCGAAGACCCAGGGAAGAATTGGAGCGAATCGGAGAGCAGCGACGACGACAACGGGAAGGACGCTCCGATGTCAAGTGGCAGCAGCAATAATGTGTCGGTAGAGGAGAGTACAGCTCCGTCGGACATAGGCTCACAGGAGTCCGGAGATGTCGAGTCCGGAGATGTCGAGTCCGGAGATATCGTGTTCGCAAAGGAAATACGGGGAAGCAACATTCGGGGGAGGGGGAGCGGGCAGAAAAAAAAACCATGGCAAGCGGAAGGCGAGCGCCGGCGGCAGCGCCGTAGGGAACATGAACTCAACAAAGGCAAGCCTAGGAGCGAGTGCCAAGAAAGCCCGGGGCAAGGACTACCCGCTCTGGGCCGCACATCTGCTGAGGAGGACATGCGCGCACCGCAAGATCCCGAGGATGTCGAAGGAGGGCGACAAGCATGTCCTGGTGCAGGCCCTCCGATCTCACGACGGCAACATGAACCGGCCATGTCCGTACTATGACGACCTCAATGCTATCACAGCCGGTGAGATGCTGGTATTGTGTAGATTCGTCGTCGATGAGAGTCACAGCAGACGGCACAGAGTATTGAGTAAAAGTATAGGTAAGTATGCTGCAGTCGAACGCAGTGTGCGTAAAGGTTACAAAACAAAATTACTGCTTTGTGTGTATTATGTAGAATGCCCGCTTCAAATCGACCTGTTCGTACAGTAGAAGGTACGGCATGCTCGAGAGCTGTTTTATTTGCCCCAGTAAGTGGGAAAATGAAGGCACGCACAGCGTACTACCAGGCATGCTTTGTCGACGACAACTGGTGGTGCACGGACCTAAACGCATAAGCTTTGTGTGTTCTGTCCTCTCACGCTCAGAGGAATGTCTAGAGTTGAACGATTTTTTGTGGAGTACAGCATGAGGAATATGTAGTTTTGCTCCGGTTGGGGGTGTACACCCGAGGCGTCCTCTCATGCGAAGGCTTATTCGTTGTGTGGGCCGCTTTCTCCTATCCCCAATGTTCGCGCAGGCAAATCTGGACGCAGAAACGGGGAGGAGGACGAGGAGGAGGGAGCCATTCCTGCCAAAGCACTCCTTACGTTTCGAAATGTTGTCGGGATGGTCGCCATAGCACGTGACAGTAACGTGCCGTTTCAAGTCGATAATGTGGAGTACAGTGTGGCGGACCTTTACGACGCCCTGGCCAAGGAAGACGAAGCGGGAAAGGGGGATTCTGCGGGCGGGAGTACTCCCACTGGTGGTTCATCGACGGGTGGTGCAGCCGGACCGGACGGGGATGGTTCCGTCGGAGGGAGCGGCAGCAACACGGAGCGCAAGGGCCCACACTGCATGATGCGGCTCGTTGGGATCCTGTGCGAAGACGCCATCCGCCCACTTCTCATAGAGAGCCGCTTGCAGGCGACCCGGCAGGACCTGGACACCTCATCAGTCGGGCCGCGGAACGAATTGTGGACAGAGGTCACCGCGCGCTTCCGAGACCCTGACCACCAGGTACACGGTCATGGGTAGGGGGATTGATTAGGACGGATCGGCCGAGAACGTTGTACATAGACAGCAGTCGAAGTGTATGTTGACACGCATGCCTTTTTTTTGTGGTCATTTTACCCATCGTACTCAACACCTCATGACGTCCACGGACGATCGCTGTTGTTTTAGGTAAAAAGCCATGAGGTATCCACCCCCAAGAGCGGGTCAACCTGCTGTTGACGTACACCGGTAACTTATGGTGTTGTTACTGACGCCGACGACGATCATACTGCTGTAGTTGCTTCGAAACCTTCACCTATTGGTGGAAGACGTAGAAAACGCGCAGAAGAATTCCACAGGAGTGCATAGCCAAACAATATTACACGACAGAAAAAAATAACACTGCAGAAGCAACGCTAAAATACAGGCCGGGATCAGGCAGACAGTACTAAGCTTCCCGCGAGAGGTGCATTCCCCGTTCGGTATGTTGTTTTTCTTCGTATCAAAATCGTGTTAAATTCCTCGCACGCCCGGGCGGTACTCTATGTAAGTTTTTTTAAAGAACACGTGTATGATCTGCGCTGCCCGCTCCCTCGCTCTCTCGCTCTCTCGCTGTATGCATGCCCCATATATGGGTGATGATGTGGACGTTTTTAAGGTGAGAAAAATCGTGGACGACGAGCAAGTGTCTCACGTCGACCCGAACATCATCCAGCAACCAAACATCTCGGCGGAGAAGCTTTCCAGGATGTGGGCTACGGCAAAGGCGAAGTGGAACCAGCCTTATGCCGACTGGAAGAGTGAATCCGGCAACAACCAGCCATGGCTTTCATTTTGTCAAGGTAAGGGATGGGTGGAATGGGGCCTTGTATAAAATAGCGTATGTTTGCTCGAGGAACCTTGGGCGATTTTGTGGTCGTGGCATAAATTCCGCCCATCCTTCACAGCGTGCAAGTGCTGCTACGGTCGGAGTTTTGATGTGATACTTGGAGTTATCGACAGTGTTGTAAAACGTGCTCCAGGGATGACGTTGGCATTGAGGCCTGATGGTGTATTTTGAAGCACGACGAAAGACCATACCAATTGGTCCAAAAAAAACTCCCGCCCACGCCTTGCATTTTGTTTTTTTACAGGGTGCACGGACACGTATGTTCTCGGTTGCGCAATCGAGAAATACCCCGAGCTGAACCAAGTGTGCAACAATCTCCTCCCCGAGGGCGCTCAGCGAGAGGACGACGGGACCGGAGAGGGCATTGTCGGCACAGGCGGTGCCGACCGCCGGGCGGCCGCCAAGCGGGAGGGCGCCAGGCTCCACGAGCAGAACAGGCGGGGAAAAAAGCAAAAAAACAAGGGGGTGGGGCAAAGCGTGGCAGAGGCTACGTCCGCTGCCATGAAAACCGCAATCAAAGATATGGAGCCACTGCTGGAAAAGGTTGGGCGGATCAGAAAAATCAGAGTGGTACAAAAAAAAAGAGGAACACGCTTGCAAGACTGCTGAACACGACAGCAAGGCTTCTGGCCTCGCCCTCCAGAAGGAAATGACCGAGTCCCACGCCGAATTCTCGAAGAAAATTGTGGAGGAGGAGAAAGAAAAAGAAGAGGGTTATCAGACGAGAGTTAGATTCCTGCGCAAAATGTTGGCCGGCATCGAGAAGGAAATGTTTGGCGACGAATAACACCCATATGCACTCCCGGAAAAGTGTTACCGTGCAATCGTCGAATTTTATGCATGCGTGACGGGGGGGGGGGGGGGGGGGGAGTTTCATTTTTTATCGTTGGGCATGATTGAGTCAACGTCTTCGTTTCGTCCCAGCATTGAGGATACGTGCGCCTCCGCATAGACGTGGGGATTGGTAGGCAACAACCCTTTGAGAGGATGCTTTACGGAACAAAGGAGTATCAACGAAAATAAATATAGTGGAAGAAAGCCGAGACCGTTGTGGTTCACGGGCAAGTTGCTGTGACTGTATTCAACGAACACGAAGATGCGTTTTTTTATTTCTCTCCCTGC